CCCCCCAACGCCCCATCCCATCTTCCATCAATGGTAAACCTCACTAATACGGAGGTTTTTTTTTGCGTTTTCATGATCGGCAGAGCGTCGATTCACGGCACTAAACAGGCAATACTGAGCCTGCATTCCGGGGGTTGTGCTTCATTTCCTTTCGGTGACGATGTACTTGGATTACAGCTTTTTCTTTAGCCGGCAGGCCAATTGACAAAAAATACGGAACGCTGCTATCCAGTTAGCATGGAGCCGGTCCGCTGTTTATGGTCCCCATGTGGTACAGTTTCAAGTCCGGCTCCACTGTGTAGGTTTGTGAGAACCCCGCCGAAATTCGTAGCTCCAGGGAAAGCAAATGCCCGAACAGTAAGCAGTATTCATCGGGGAGGTCTGGGCGGTGTGACAGCAAATGAAGTCGAATTAATTTGCGCCCCCTCAATCTTTATTTTCGATATCTATGAGGTATTTGAAAAAGCCCGGTTCCTGGCTTTCACGGTTTTTTAAATGAAGGTATTGGACGTAAGAATTCAGCATGCCGGAATTCAACGGCCACTAATTGTTTTGACAAAACTAACGGTTGGGCAGCAGAGTCTTTGCATCATGAATTCCAGAGAGCGCAAATGAGCGTCTCCAAAAACTGGTCTGCCAATAACTTCATTGGCTTATCGTCGCTCCACTGAATGCAAAATCAACCATCATCGTCGTGAAAGCCATCAATGGACCAAAAAGCGGGGGAGAAAATGAAGATAGAGGGCACGGGGTGTTCCGCCAGCATCTTCGCAATGTCCAAATGCCTGAGCCTGGAGCCTCAGAGACCATTATCCCACCTTGGCTACACTGCCAAGATGAAGATCCTGGCGGGCGTTCATTGCGCGGCAACCATATGGTGTTCCAGCTTTCAGGGTGGGCGGGAAACGTTTCTAGATGGTGATGTTTCTTGCATGAACCCTCAACGGCCATCTTGTCCTAAATTAAACAATGCAGCTGGATGCACATCCCTTGCCAACATCACCACAAATAGCAACTGCGGTGGCCAGGAATCCTTGCCTTGAGATTCAGATTCTGGCCATTACAGGCTTCTGGAATATTTCCATATCTCACGCTAGATCAGCACAGATGGCGCGCCGGTGATGATAGTTAGTTGGTTAGCGGTGGACTATCGGCCATCATTGCCCTGGTGGGGGGTTTCCCCTATAGGTTGCAATGGGATGCTTCGCCGGCTGGAATGTTAGGAAAAGGAAGAACCCGTTTGATGACAATCCGTAATTGAGATGTTGAGTTACAGCCGGTGTCTTCCTACCTAAGCAACTACTACCTGTCTGAGGGAATCTTTCCAGAAGTTTGTGCCGTCGGGTCCTGATCAGCGACTTATAACTTCCGCCAGCTACCACGTTTTTGAGCCAACTCGAGCATCAACCACGTTTTCTTCTCCAGGTTTTTGCGAACGGAGCCATAATGGACACGCCAAAGGTTAAAACCACCATGAAACAGGTCTGTGATAATTGTCGCCGCCGCAAACTCAAATGCAACCGTCTCTATCCATGCGATAGATGCCGGAGTGCTCTTCTCTGCTGCGCATACACGGACGTCTTACAGCGGAAAGGCCCGAAATTTCGCACCTTCTATCCCCGCTCTTCTCTCAGCTCTCCTGGCAATGAATCTCCCTGTTCGCCATCGTTTCCAACGCCCCCTCACTCCACCTTCTCTGGAGATTTTGATAAAAGTCTTCCACCTCTTCCCGCTCCGCCATTTCTCTTGCCCGGACCCGTCATCTCTTCTGATAGTTCATCGTGGGAGTATCCACCAGACCCTCAACCGGTCTCTTCCCGCCTGTCTTCTTTGGTTATTCTCGCGCATTTGAATGTGTATCTAAAGTACTTATTCCCTATTATGCCTGTCTTCAAACCAGATCAAGTACTGGCGGACAGCAGCGAACCGGCACGTCTACCTCCACAGCGATATGCATTTCTTGCAGCCCTTTGCGCAGCAACTCATATCCAACTGAAACTGGATGGGCCGGCACAGCGTGATGGGTCGGACAAAGATCCAACACCCATAGACGACGGAACGTTAATATCGGGAGAGGATTTGTTATCAGAAGCCCTAAGAGCAAGGCTGGATTACGACCTGATCGACTCTCCAAGCATCGACAATCTTCTCACCTCATTTTATCTCTTCATCTCGTACGGAAATCTGGAAAGACACCACCACGCATGGTACTATCTTTGCCAGGCGGTCTTCATGGCCCACACATTGAGGCTTCACCAAGAGTCGTCGTACTCCAATTTTGACGCCGGTGAAGCTGAGGAGAGACGAAGGGTATTCTGGCTGCTTTTTGTCACTGAAAGGTATTTAATTAAACATTAATAAAGTCTACCCTTGGAAATCTCGCACTGTTAACATCTCAGTTTGACAGGGCGTATGCACTTCAGCAAACCAAACCTGTTATGTTGAGGAATTCTATAAGAAAACCAGAAGTCTTCAATGAGGACGACCCTATCCTTGCGTACGGGTTTCTGAACTTAATTAATCTCTTCGAGAAACTTTCTCCAGATCTTTACGACTGGATTGTTTCAGGCCAGGTAGATGAGGCTTCCGGACAAGCACTAGCAAATCTAATTTTTCGCGACTTGAGTTCCCCTATGTCCCTGGAAGGAGTATTAGAGACTCAGCAAATTGACATTCTTGTCACTCAACAGTGGCTCCGAGCGGCAATGTGGAAGCTCCCAGAGCGTGAAATGTTCCAAAAGTCATTCGGAAGCCAAGGGACGCTTCCATCTGACCTCTCCATTGCGGCAAGGAGATCAATGATGGAGGTTCTAGAAGTGGCATCGGAAGCCGCAATAGATTCCGAGGGCATTGGAACAGTCCATTCGTTCTATCCGTTCTTCCCGATCCGTCGAGCAGCAGTTAGCTAACGGACCGGTCCTCCAGAAGGACTCTTCAACGTCAACACCTTTGTTAGGGACATGATTCGTACGATGCAGCGTTCGACTGCAAGGCATATCACCATGCCAATATTTGATGGAAGCGAGAGACCTGGCGGAGCTCTCACGTCACTATCGAGGCCTTGTGGATCCCAGTCACATTTGTGCCCTATACTTTGCGGGCAAGCGGGGAGCTTTTTGGGGTTGGAATCACCGACCATGTAAGGGTTCTTTATCGCCTCGTCAGACACATGAGGACCCACATGCGAAGGATGATAGTTGGGAACTAGTCACAGCGGATCGACAGAGCGTAGATGACTAGGACAGTTCGTCGGGAAAATCAAAGGATCAGTTGTACCCAAAACAAACAGCAACAGCATGCAGAGTAGAAGAGACAAATACACGCATCGGCTCTAAGTAAGGCTGCGACAGGACAAACTTTTTCTTTCTGGTGTCAGACCGTTTGTATATAGTGCAACCTTTCCCCCTGAGGCTCCCCTTTCCTTTAAATTGGCACAGGGGTCTTCGGATATTTATGTGCTGAGTACGGCTGAGATACCCGTTTATGTTGCTTCTACTTTATTGTTAGCGTTTAGTATTAGTACATATACCCCTTTCGTTATTAAAAATCCGAAAGCTTAACCTTTCAAGAATGTGAAACTTACCTATGCATACATACAACTATTATTGTTGGCAAATTCGCTGGCTATTTAATCTAATGTTTCAAACTAATGAAATGTGGGGGAGGAGAAGATCTCTGGACACAGGTTTCAAGCCAGGTTTTGCATACCCTGCGATATGGGCAATAATGCCATTGGGCCATTGGGCACAGAGACCAACTTGACAGATCTGATAATTATTAATCTATGCTTGGATTTGAAGATGCTAACTTGATCGTGGTTTTTGATGAATATTTTAAGGCCAGCAATACTGCAAAATCTGTTTTGGGCAAGGCTTAACATTTGTGTTATGCCCTGGACAAGGATCATACAGTGAGAAGCATTGACCTGAAAATGCTATTTCCCGCTGATGGAGACTTTATCTTGGTTTATTGTGATCCGTAGAATTTGCAGGTTGTTGTAGCTAACTAGCAAAACTGTTGGTTAAACTTGTCAAGTCAAATTTCATCATTCATCACACTTTCCAGGCGCATCCTAGTTAGAATCCCTAACTTACACAAGAGAAGAAGGTCTTTGCTCTCAATACAACAAGAAAATAAAATTGAAATATTGCATGCTATCATATTTAACAGTACAAATCAAAAGAAAATGAGACTGATTCTAGAGAGTATATATAACTAGATGTTAACACCTGAAGATAAAGAAGAAAAATTAACTTCAACGACCAAAACTCCATTAAACGACCTCTAAGAACTGTGCCTCGTTGCCAGACTCCGAACAACTACATTTCCTAACATGTTGTGAAGAATAACTCGGCCTGCGTTCTCCTCCAGCTACTGCCTCGGGTTGCCTAATGGCACTTGGGCTGCGGGTCGAACGATATCTTCCTCGTGGAGACTCCGTTCGCGGGGTTAGCCTCTGCTGAGGATACACGAGCTGTTCCACGGTGCCATTTTTTATGAGCACGTAATCACGCAACCGGTCCAGAGCAGTTTTAAAATCATCTAGAATAACGATATCGCAAAGGCATTTGAAGACGAAGGAAAGCTGGCGAATTGAGATAGGATTAGTTATGGCCTTCTTCTTCACTCCATTCGCGTACATGGATCTGGGAGTGCTATGCTGAAGACTGACCTTCCAAAATGGATTGATACCGGTGGGTAGGGCATTGTGAAAGACGTGTGTGACAGAAAGGAAGTCAACAATAACAAATATGATAGAGAGACACATGGCGGCCAACATGACACCGAAACGAGGACTCTGGCGAACGAGCTCCATCAAGGTGAAGTCGTACTGAGATTTTATGACCCAGAAAAGATTGCAAGTCGTGTATATCCACCAAGGATCACTGGTAAGAAAGGAGTCAGCCCATTCCCCCCTGCGCCCCATGTTTCTCCCATGTCATCTCAAAAAATGGAGTCGGCGAGAGATGTGAAAATAACATAGCAACATCTTACCGGAAAAGCGATTCCAGCGGTCTGGTCTTCTCGAAGAGTTCATTGATCTGGTTGAAGTAGGTAAAGTTGGCATATATTTCGAGCATCCAATACGGCTGCGCGAGGATGACCGTGCCAATATAGAACCTGCTCATGCTTTTACTAAGGAACGGTCTATTTTTCATCCAGGCGATTACATTGTGGAGACTCCATGAAATATTGAGAGAAACTGCGGTCACAGAGAGATACCACCCGTACACCGGCTTATGGACAAAGAGCCATGTCCCATGGCCCATGCCGAGAATTAACTATCAAGACGTTCTCCTTTTAATGACGATGACTTCCAAAAGCGGGAGCACCCGCGGTTGAGATGGCAATACACAGCATACCTCAGCTAAAATCAACTTATGGAGAAGCACTCTGCGACGCATGTTCGCGACGGTGATCGCTACCATAAACACCAGAGTTCCAACCATGTAGCCCTGCGCCCAACCTTCAAGGACTAAAGCGTCCTGGTTATCATGACGAATCAGATTATCTGTTCGTCTCGTGAACGGGAGACACCCGCTCATGACAACTACCTGAGATGACCATGTAATCAGAGTTGTCAATGGTCGTCCCATGTGTGTGCCAGCGTCTTTTATGGCCAAGACATTGGAGTCGCTTCGCGCAGGAAGTTTGAAAGCTATAAAAACAATGGTAAGGGTATGTATGAATGGAAATAAATATATTTGGTAAATATATCTCAATAACTGTCCGGGGAAATAATACGGAACAAGGAGACGGAATATGCCAGTTTTAAAGTTATTTCGAGGAGAGATAACGGAAGAGTAGAGGCTTGTGAAGTCGCGCCTCTGTACTAACTACCAGACCTCTCTTTTTGCAGAGAGGAGGTTTGACATGAGTCGACAGCGACTATATCTCACAGCATACGGAGTTGTCAGTGACGGCATGAGTTGATAGAAAGAAAGAGGTAGATATGTAGCAAGGAAATGAAGACAACGTTGTGCTTGGTTTCGGGGTTTGTTGTAGAGTTGGTAGATAACTAATCGGTTCGGGGTTTGCTGTAGAGTTGGTAGATAAGTTAATCCTGACGACAAGGACCGCCATCTTGACACTGCTACTGACAATTTGCCCCGCTCGACCGTTGGACTCCCGCTGGGTAGTTGTTAACCCCCTGGTTGATCAATTTACCACCTACAGCCAGGGTGGCATTGTAGTTCATCAAATTACCTTACAAATTATTCTTCATAGACTGAGAAGCATATATGAATAGTATTTTCTACAATAGCAAATCATATTTTCTTTTTAACTTTATTAACTTTTTTATATAATTTTATCTTTTTTTAAGTAATTAAATTCTTTTTGTAACTTTATATAAAATGTTTTTTTATATATATAATATATTTTTAATTAAATAATAATATTAAAAAATTAATTTTATATATTTTATCAAAAATTTATCTATATTGAAATAAATATTTATATATTAATTTTATAAAAATAGAAAATAAAATATAATTAATATTTATTAATTATATATATAATAAAAATTAAAATTTATATTAAAAATATTTTTAAATATAATTTAATATTTAAAATTATAAATATTATTTAAAAATATTTTAATAAATTAAATAAATATTTTATATAGTTTAGTTAATTATTTTTATTATAAAAATATTTAAAAATTTTAAATAATTTATATTAATATAAAAAATTAATTTATTAACTTTAATTTTAAAAGATATAAAATTAATAATAATTTTAATTACTTTAAATTATAATAAAACTATATAAAGTTATTTTAATTAATAAATACTAATATATAATTTTTTTAAAAAAAAATTAATTAAATTGTAAATATCTAAAATAAAATATAAAGAATTATATATTCAATGATACGTTTATAATGAAAGAAAAGTTTATAGTTGATGATTTAATTATTCAATACATGGAAGGCTGCATATAGATTCCTACAAAGAAAGAAAGCAACAGTTTACAGGACAGCCTGCAGGCCAGAATATCTTGATTAACTTCTCTTTGACCCATCGAGAGTAAGACCTGCTCGTTTATTTCGCTGGCTGGTGTCTAATACGGAGCACGGCTTTTGCAGTTACGGTTACAGGCCAGGGGAATCATGTGAACGTAACTTCTGTTCGGCCAATCAAAGTGTGAGAATGATTGCAAGTGGACCAATAAGAACGCAGTATTTCTATGATCGCTGAAGAGAAATTCTCTGGTAGAGAGTTTTATACTGCTCCATGGGTGGGGGTGAGTAATACACGGGGCACGATTGTTCGACTTGGTCATCTTATTTACCAAGAAGGCAAAGCATGTACTCCGCATATAACTATTAAAATGAAATAATTAAGAAAAGAAACCAAAGCACCAGAAACGAAAAATTTGCCGAACCACTGAAGACAAAGTCATTTCTGTCCCAAGTGTACGCTGGAGAGCTGGAGAGCTATTGAAAAGTGCGTCGAGACTAAAGTTAAAAGACCGAAACGTTTCCACTATCGGCAGCTGAAAGTTCATGGGAAAATCTCTATCAATACAGGACTCAGGGGGTTGTTAGCTACTCTGGAATGGATAACAGCCAATCATCCAACTTCAAGAAATTGGTCTCCAAACGACTCATGAAATCTCACCACCTCATCTTACAAATTTCAAGGGACAAAAAGCACGAAGCACGTCCAAATGCGTGGACACAAAAGAACAAGACAGATTAAACAAGGATCGGCTAATTACCGGGGGATTGAGATCTTGCACTTCTACCAAGCTGCCTGGAAATCAGATTAAAGCTAGCTCACGTCAACAACAATCACCAGCGCTCGTGCTAATCCCTCCATTTCCTTCCATTTTTCGATCGTTCATGGATCAAGGTCCAGGGAGGTTGATGATCACTCCAAATAGGTTAGTTAAACGATAACTAATCTTTAGGAGAATGCAGGGAGGTGGCATTCGACCAAAATAAGGCGCTGGGATTGTCGGCGCTCTCCGAAGACAGCGCCACGGAATGACCCCAGGCTTGCTGGGAACGGCGGCACCTCCCGCTTCGATGAGAAATCTTGTTACTGGTCGATCGATCCGCAATCAATCTAAATAGCCGGGAGTCCCTGTCTACTCGACGAAAAGTTGATATAAATAGCAATCAGGGGTAATTTAAAGCTCGAAAATTTCCCCAATCACCCCTCTTATTTAGCTAGTGGTCTCCGGTTTGGCTGAGACAACTAACGAGGGTCTCTCGTTCTAGATCTCTGCTCGTTTTGAATCAATCGGCTTTTTCACTCCTCTCGACTTTTCAGGACGATGCCCGGGAGTTGAATCGTCTACCAATGCAGGTTGTCTCCCAATGATGTTAGTGAATACTGTTGTCGGATTTCGAATATGTTGCTTTCTCTTACTAGAGAAGGACTATGAGATAGTCTGTCAAAGGCAACATAAGGAGCCCATCAATGGTTCGATTCTACATCCACCACTTCTGTGGTAATGGGTTGGAGATTTTTCACTTCTAAAGATGTACATGGCAGGCAGGACTACGTGGGTAGTCCGGACTTTTTGTGTGTGTACAGCATTTTACCGGCCTGACTGGTATATCCAGGAGGCATCGCGGTAGAAAATTTTGTGACTACGCGTGCTCTCCTATCACGGAGAACAGCGACCATTTCTCAAACTTTCAGAAATGGCAAAGAAAATTGGGAGCTTCTGCCTCTTTCCTGCTCAGAACCTACGCGTGGAACATTGTCGTGAATAAAACAAAAAGGATGGCCTTCATCTATTACCCAAACTACTGCTTCAACGACTTTACGTTGGTAACCTAATACAACAGGAGAAGGAGGGGGGTGTGGAATGGGAGAAACTACCATTACATAAAGTCCCCTGCATTTAAAATTTCATGAGACTGCGCCTGGTCTACATTTGGCAAACCTTTCAGTCCATTGATCGGGAAGACTATTCTCTGCAGCTGCGACTTAAACAGAACGGACGATAGCTACCATTGGACTCATAATTGTTGTCAAGAAGCGAGATACGACTATGGTGAATAAATGGCAGCATCTTAGAACTCCTTAAAAAGGATATCAACCCATCCATGTATCAATACGGCATCTGACGGCCTCTCCAACGCACGGTGCAATACCAGGCTTCTTTGGAAGAACACATGCCCGCTTGATGATTTACGAATAGGTTGAGGTATCAGTCAGTGGTTGGAGTGTCTCATTATCGCAGGGGATTTGAGAATCTAATTAACAGGGAGTTCACGTTCACTGCAACTTTGGTTCAGAAGTCTTGGAAGCAGCGGAGATAGTTATTGACGGTCCTGTTCTCTGCAGCCGTCGCAAGCCTGGCTAATAGCAGCAGTGAGTACATTGCTTCTGTTTAAAAGTCTGATGCTTGAGACGCAGATGTGTATAACAAAGGCTATTCAGATTTCTCCTGTAGATCGAATGTTGTTGGACTACAATAATTCGCACATAGGGTTTCTGCATAGAAAATGGCTGATTGGAGGGGACATGCCGATTAGCTAGCTGGAGGGGGTGAGTCATGATATGATAAGTAAGTGCTTGAATGATTTCTACAGATTTCAGACTCTCCGTCACTAAAGAACTAATATCAGCTCATGCTGAAGTAATCATCTTTCTTTCATCATTACATCCGGTGGTGAGGGTACATCATGATGATTCTTTGCTGAGATGTGGACATCTGAGAATCAATTTCATGTGGACAACGGGTGGTTGAGAGCATGCACTCGCATCAGAGCTACAATGAAGATCATTGTCTTCACCCAGTTATAATATAAAAGATCATGGAGTTATGAAGTGCCATCATCTGTTTCATTGTAATCATGCAATCGAACTGTTCATATATGTCCTGAATATATTTTGCATCTTATCATAAGAAATCTTTTCTTGGTGAAACTCTCAAATTCAAATATAGCAAGCTAAATATTGAATTTATGATGAACAGTCTTCTCAGACTAGTACATTATCCAACTGCAATTAGTTAAAAAACAATTAACAATCCTCACTTCTTGATATTTAGTGCTGGTAATTTCTTAATCTCTACCTGTTAGCCTTCAGAAGGCTCTTCACAGCATCAATCACACTCTCCTTCAATGAGTAATACTGCAACCCCAAAACCTTTTTGGACTTCTCATTATCAAACCCATAACTGCCCTCAGGAGGGAAATCACCTGGTTTCAATGCCTCTTCTCCTGTTGGCAGCTTCTCCCTAAATTGGGGAAACTCATCATAAATGATCTCAGCTAGTTGGCGGTTGCTAAACTTGCCCGCGGTCACAAAGAAGCGCTGGTTCGCAGCTTCTTTCTGCTTCTCGGCGGCAAGGACGTGAGCGAGTGCGACATCACGTACGTCAACCCAGAGATATTCAGTAGACGATGGGCAGCTGGTCTTATAAGCCCCTATGATTAGGCCACGAATGCGCTCATTAGAGGTGTTGATCTTGTCAAGCGAGTAGATGCCGTGGATGATAGGGCCCAGCACAGCCGGAGGGTTGATCTTTTTCATTTTAAGAGGGTATTAGCTCTGCTCTATTGTTAAAGAAGTATTAGGATTGAAAGAGAGCATGCGGTGCAGTTACACACCGTTGCTAATGTGAAGTTCGGCTTTTCCTGCTCCATGAAGTCCCAGGCGGCCTTTTCCTATAATATGTATAATGCGTAAGTATGTTGGTTGTTTCGCTTCCATCATTATCAATTACCGCTGTTATCATAACATACAGCGAATGTCTTTCCTGCTCGATACGCGTTGGAGGGGCTGAAATAAATTTCAGCATAAGTAACAGGATTCCAATCCACCTATTAATATTAGAAAGAGGATAGGTATCACAGAAGGGAACAAAAAGGGGATATGACGGAGCACATACTTCTGAAAAGGCGTAGGTAGGAGGCTTCTTCAGGTCAATTATGGCGGCAAAGGAAGACGTGATGACTACACGCTTAACAGTTGGGGAGCTCCGTTTGATCGCATGAAGGATACCAACAATGCCATTGACAGCTCAATGGTTCAGCCGGCCAAAGTCAGTAGGAGCGCAAATAATCTTCAATCATCCGAAATGTAAAGATATGTAGTTAGTTATACATACCAGGATCTACCAATTCCTTCCTGAAATCAGTTACTCTATAGTGGTATGGGCTGGCGGTGTGAATAACATATTCGAACGGCGGATCCGAAATCACGGCCTTGTCGAATGCTATATTATTCCATCAGGCAATTGGATTAGCCAAAATTGCTATCGTATTTGGAATCGACTGAAGATATGAGCCACATCTGTTTCTCTGGTAGTTACTGGAGGCAATATTTGCCGTAACATACCATCAAGTTTCGCGATGTCGTCCACAATAGCAAAGTCCAGCTTGTCCTTAGGGACATCTGGATAAGCATCTTTAATTTTCCGGACTTTTTCTTCTGAATGAACTGTAGTTACCACCGAGTGGCCATGCTGGAGGAGGATTTCAAGAACATGAGCAGCAATGAAACCGCTTCCGCCTGTGTAAATGAAGTTAGCTGGGTTTCAGGCCAATCTTTAAACACTCTCTTTACTGGATGAGAATCCTCTTTTTTTTTTTAATAATATTATTTCATAAATTTTAATTTTAATTTTTTTTTTTATAGACTGTAACTACCTGTCAGCAGGATTCGTGTCATTTTCGTCTTGCGTTATTTAGTGACTTCGTGCGGGGGTCCAAGAGTCGGTGTTTCTATGACGTTACGTTACCTGGCTGTCAACGCCGCTGCGGTTCACTGGGATAGTTAAGTTGTTGCTCAAAACTCAATTTAAACCCATGTATTTTGGAAGCCGGTGGAGTGATTTCGGTGGAGTGATTTTTTAACCAGGAAAACAAAGAGGATAAGAAAATGGCTTATATATGATATTCTTCCAGTGCGAGTAAAGGGCCATGAACTACCCCACGCGATCAGCGGTGGCACTCGCTGCTTGATTGTTCTAGTAGCGGGGTAGACGGGACCCTGGAAGCTTTTCGTGTTGTGGATGAATCTCCGAACCCCCAAACTCAACCATAATTCTCAAGGAAGTTTGTAGTTACGCCTCCTCTTGATTCATCCAGCATTATTTTGCAAAAATATTATATGCATTGCCTGCTGTAAACCGTAGTATGGATCTCAAGTGCTGAGAGAATTAATGAAAACAACATTATTTGCAAAAGACAAAGCCATATAAAACTAATATAACAGTGGGTGTCGCATTTTTATTCTGACAATCGGCCCGTCCTCTCTATGAAGAACACCATCCACACCTTGGTATATATATCAAATCGAATTGATTGAATAGACAAATCTGTCAATTTCGGGCGCCAATATATTTCAGAGTGGAGAAAATTAAGCTAAAAGATGAAAACATTCAAATTCTTCTATCTTGAGGACTTGCTCAAAATAGATATCTTAGAAAATGAAAAAGAAGATTTAGCAGCAAAAATTGACACTAAAATTCAAAAGCAACTCAAAAAGTTATCTCTTGATCTTATAATAAGAAAAAAAGTAATAGAGAGTTATATCTTAATAAATAGACAAAGCTTTGAGGAAAAGAAAAGAAAATAGTCAATATTCAATATGCAAGAATGAAATGAAATCAAAGTAGAAATCTTCATCAATAAAGTGCTCAAAAAAAAAAACCCTTTTTCTTCTATATATAATTAAACCTTAAGACATAACTACTTTAAATTCTATATAAAAAGAATTAAAGGTTTTACAAATATAGATAAATGTCATTTTTGTGATTTAGCTAAAAGTTCAAATTATATTTTAATAAACTATTTTTTAAATAAAAATATTTGAAAGAATCTCAAAGAAAAATACTTTATTTGTCAATTGAATATGCTTTTTTCTTTTTAATACTAAGTTATCAAGAAAGTTTTAATTGACTTTATAAAAAAACTAAAATTCCATCTAGTGTTAGGGAGTGAATGTAAGCTGCATAAGAAGGAACTCTCTGCATTGCTAACTGCTATATATTGAAATACTAAGCTTGATGAGGGAAAAGAGGATCTGCCCCAATTATAATCAATCCACTAGGTTATACATTGAGGCATGATCACGTGATCGAAATAGTCATGTGATGGGAATAAATCTAATCTTAGTTTTTATATTTTTTTTATTTTATAATTTTTATAATTTTTATTTTTATAAAATTAAAAATATATAAATTTATTATTTATTATATATTTATTTAAATACTATTTTATTATAAAATAAAATTTTATAATTATATTTATAAAATAGTTATATTATAATTTAATTAAATAAAGTATTATATTTTTTAATTATATATACTTAAAATAATAATAATAATAATAATAATTAAGTTTTTTAAATTAATTTATTATTTAATCTTATTTTAATAAATAAAAGTCAAAAATTATACTAAATTATATATTATAATATAATAATTTTAATATATAATAGATATTATTAATTAAATTTAATTAAGTTATTTTTTATAGAAATAAAATAAAACTTATTTTTTAAATTTTATTAAAAATAATATAATAATTAATATTATTATTTTATATTATAAGATTATTATTATATAAAATTTAATAAATATATTAAAAAATTTATAGTTTGAAAAAATTATTATTATTAATTTTAATTTTATTAATTTAATATATTTTAATTTATATTATTTATATTATTTTTTTAAAGTTTTATTATAATAAATTAATTAATATATTTTATAATAAAAATTTTATAATCTAAATAAATAATTAAATATTTATACTTATAAATATAATAAAGTTTAAAATATATTTAAAATTAAATTTTTTTTAAATTAAAATAATTTTAAATATAATTATAATAAAATTTAAAATCTAAGTTTTATTAAATTTTTTATTAATAGTTTTACTATATTATTTAATAATATTAAATATTAAATATTAAATTTTTAGATAAAAAATATTTTAAATATCTTTAATTTAATAAAAAATATATAAAATTTATTTATTTATTAATATAAATAATTATTTAAAATTTTTGAAAAAATTTATATATTTACTCTTTTCTAATATGATACAGCATTGAGCATCTACTAGTTACGATTTTATCAAAGGTTTTTAAGTTATATAGTTGAATTACTTAGTTTATTAAAGTTTTTGATAACTTCTTTGAACTGATTAATTACTTTATCAATATAGCTATCATCATAAAGATTATACTGAAATTTGCTATTAATCTCAAAATTTCAAACTATATCATAAGTTACAGAAAAAATGTTAATAATATCATTGGAATTATTGACAGCTCAAATTGTCTGGAGTTTGTTACGGCGCAGTCGCTGGTAATAAGGATTAAGGTTGATCCGTTCTGACCCCAACCAACGATTTAAATTCAGCTGCTCGTTCATTCCCACATTCTGATCCCCAGTTTAGTATTCTCGTCGCAGTTGCCTAGTTAGATAGATGAATTGAAGCTTTTGTCTTGTTATTTTCATAACTCTAGTTTGAGCCATGACAGAGTTCTTTTAATTGAAGCTTTAGTTTAAAAACTTTATATTTCTTTCTATTACTCTTTAGTTTCAACTTTATTCTACCAAGAGTGCGATGACTAATATCATTATTATTAGATCTGCTTAGCTGAAATATTGAGAGACAGTGTAAGAAGACGACGCTTGAGACGGGTAGTGCCATCACGTGGGTTGTTTGATGGGAAGCCAAATGGGTAGGCTTGACTAGCTAAGGAAACAGACGAGCTTATGTCTTAGGGCTGAAGGGGAATCTAAGTGATCAAAGATATGAATGACTAAGATAGAGATTTGTATACGTCTTCAGTGACTCTGATATATTGAGAACGAATCGCTGACCCTCTGAACAGTGGGTCAGATAGCTAGCTACAGGGTTTCTATCAGCCTTCCCTCCTTCATGGATACGCTCAGATGCCACTCTATCTGATCAAGGAAGTGGCGATGTCTTTCATAGAGATGATCATCTCATCATCTCATCACCTCATACACGGTGAGACAATCACCTCGTCATCAGAGTAAGATGGATATCCTTAGCGGAGTAGTGGCGGTGCCGCAGAGAGTAGTTTCTAAGACGTCAGTGCCAAGAAGATGTCTTTGGCTAGATCTCGTGATCGTGACAGACAGATACATAAATAGTTATTCAAGTTATAATAAGATTAATATCTGAGATTTTAGAAATATTCTAAATAGATAAGTTCTTAAAGAATTTAGAAGAAGGCTCATGAGAGGTAAGAAATTGAGTTTAGATAACTGATTCAACCGAATTTACTCACATTTGAGATTGTGGAATATGTAATAGAGAATGGTGTCACTGAATTAGTCCATTTTGTTATTTTGATTGATCAACGGATCAAAATATAGATATAAATGAGGCATTTAGAAGGACTTCCCTATTCTAGAGAGAGATCTCATCAAAATATCGCATCTTCTTTAGGTGATATTCTATAAAATTTCATCTTCTTTGCAGGTCATTTAAAGATTCAAAAATGCGTCAACCACCGAATAGGGATCGTAGGTCTCTTAAAATATAAAAAGTATTTCAAATAAAATAATATAGATCAAATAAAGCAAGCAGTCACTGATTTCAACAAGATAACTCCCGAATTGGCTGCGTTTGGGCGCAAAACAGGTCTCATAACCTGCAGAATGGCATCAATTGCAAAGGTTGCTAACTACGGTTGGAAAATAGTCACGTGATGAAAGAGTCCGTCCACTTAAATAACAAGGGTCATTAAAAGTAGTTAACCGCGTTCCAATAGAGCTCTGTCTCAAAATGTATTTATTGCACGTGTAGTTATGAAATCAGAAGCTTTGTCGTCCGCACTCTAAGCAAAAATCGTCATCTTTCCTATGCATACACGTGGGTTACTCACCCGTTCTTCCGTTTATTGCCGGTATGAGAGAACGATGACAAGCGTCCCTCATTGGGTGCGAGCTCGAACTTATCACTTTAAAAGCCACAGAGCAAGGTGTCCCAAGCCTGTGACTCAATAAAACGCTTCCCCAACTCACTCCGCCACCCATCGATGCTACCAGCCACCCACGCCCTGCGTTTCCAGAAGCAGCAGACGAAGCTACTTGGGGAGACTTGTCCAACTCCTAGGGAGAAGGGAAAGGAAGAAGCTGATTGACATACCCTCAGGTTAGGTTGAACATTGAGTTATATATGGAAATGCATTTGAAGATGAGAGACAGAAATTTCTCTGACATCAATTAGTATTCTAAGGCTTAGGGGGAATGCAACAGCTGCTGTTTACTGTGATGAGGAAAATGCTGAGGGATTTGAAAGTAAATTTCATCTAACTGCGGACACGGCCGCCGTGGGGGGGGAGAAGTTTCGTGCCACAGTCATTAAAATTTCCCTGTCTGCCAAGGTGAGCATCATAGCATATAGTACATCCCAAAAGCAAAAATAAAACAATCCATCTACCTCTACAGATAGAGTGCACATTTAGAGTTTGAGATGTCACGAAAACTATTTCGAATTCTCTTCAGTGTGTTGTTCTTGGCAACGGTTCACGGAAACGGTGGCAATTATTGCAGTCCCTTACATAGATCGCCCCTGCATATAAACCAGTTTGAAGGCGATACATTAAGAGATGTTATGTAGGATGCTAAGTGAAAGCCCAATGTTGTTGTTTGGATTCGATGATTAAAAAAATGAAAACAGAAAAGATAGAGAGAATAGTTAGTTATACAATTCTATTCCCCGCAATTGAATTTGAATGCAAAAACACATTTTTCAAAATACAAAGCCGCATCCTTGGCGCTTGAAAGATTTGGGCTGAAATGAAGAATCCAGACCAGCAAAACAGCAGGTAATAGTGCTAAGTACGAACCTTATTGATTGAATCAGGTAAAGCTATTGGCGGTGCATCCCTCCGTTGCTGCTGGTGAAATTCTCATCTTGTTGCGACGGACGGTGCAATATATGAATGGAATGGCTTATGTTGTGTAGTCTGGTACATACGCCTTATGTCTCAAAGTCAAAAATTCAACTATGACCATAAAAGAAACCACAATAGCCGTATTGCGCGCTCAATGGAAATGACCCTGAAGCATTTGACTTGCTAGTTACCTTGGCACATGGGAAAAGTAAGAGGCGGTCGGGTCGTACCAGACGCAATTTGCCGTTGGACGGATATCTTAGCGAGATGTTTATAAAAGCCAGCTGGTTGAAGTTGTGAGGAACAACCCCTGCCCTGGAACAAAATATAAATCTTGGGATGGAAAGGGGAACACAGTATAAAAAAACAAACAAATAAATAAAAAGGAATATCGCGAACATGGAACCTATGGGGAGATCCAAGATCCTACCTAGGTCATGTGACCTCGCTAGTTCAAGGTTTGTGCGGGCCCTGGTAAATGAATTGCACCAATAATGACAGAATAATTAGTTATGAATAACTATCTGATAATTTACAACTGAATAGTTTCTGCATTTTCGCAAGTTTTAGAGCAGAACGTCCTGAGCACCATTCGCGGTTACGGAAGAATGGTATGGTGTGTTCATTTACTCTGAATTCAGAGTCAATACGTCTACTATCACTAAAAAAAAAAGGAAGAAATAATTTAAAGAATAGAAGTTTGCCACTTGATTCCATTTGATTTTAGCATTGTTATGACAGGTATCTCCTTTACTCTCTTCATCTCAGTTCCTTTGCAGTTTAAATTCTTCCTTCGTTCAGTGGTAGAGATAACAATTTTCAGTTTAAAACCTCAAAATTAAGTCTCAATTTGAAACTTCATCTCATGTTTCGAGGCCTTCATTCCATTTATCTTCTTCTTCTTCAAGAAACGCATCGGCAGTGGGAGGATAGGCTCAGAAGATAAAAAAGGGTAAAAATATATGCGTTCCATGTTAAACTGATGATTTGTGGGAGTTGGTTCCATCGGAGGAAGGAAACAAAGTTTCCTTTTTCCCAGTTTTCTCAAAATGAGAAGAAACGAATTGCACTTCAGAATGGATGGAACGTTGACCATGCATTCGTTTCATAGCGTTTAGCAAGATTGAACACATGGGGTGAGGGAGTTTAAAGCTTTATGCATTTTTCTCTTTGTTTTCGGGGAAATAGGAATGAAATTTGGGTGGGGAGGTACGGAGATGAAGTGGCAGGATTAAAGAAACAAGAGGAATATGAGATGGCGCGAAAGGGAAGAAACGGAACAGAAGCGGGGGAGAGGGGCAGGTGTTTGAGAAAAGAAGTTTTGTAATGGAGTTTTTCAAGGATTAATACATTATTTTGGCCGTTCCAGTGTCATGGTTGATAGAGGTGCTAAGATAAACAAGGCACGCGACTTTTTGGACGTTGGAGTAAGGAGAAAAGGTAACGGAATTTTTTTTTTTTTTTTTAAAAAAAAAATGAGACTTCGAATCAGAGGAGCGGAAAAAATTAAGTGTTCAAGTGGGATTTGAAAACAAATAGGAGAGGATGGGAATTGATAATTGCTTAGAGCAGGTAAGATCAGGAACAATAATCCGGTACATTTTGCGAGAAACGGAGCGGGAAATGAATATATCGGAAGTTCAGGAAGGGAATAAACCGGCGCGATCTCAAGAGACCACAGGAAACCTAGTCCCGTGACGTTATGGCAAGGCACCGTTGTTGAGGAAACGGGGGTCGCTGGGGTATATAAGGTGCGCCGCAATAAAACCAAATAAAGAAACCCGTGGTTTTGTGCAGTTGTAGATTTGAGACTCTAGAAAAACACAAGCATCAGTGGATGACCGCCTGCGAGCAGTCCAAAGCCTTCCTTTTTTGACCAGTATAACAACCACATTGTCATGTACCACTTAAAATGCACAGACTACCATAAAAAATCATGTGTTTCACTCTTGGGGTTGCTGGCTGCGACGCATTTTTTCGGCTTCCAAGTTCTCGTACAGGAGGTAAAGAGCCTTTTCGTTGGCAGCCGCACTTCCCATGATGGTGAACATACGTTCGCCAGTCTCGTCATGTGGCGCCTTGGCGATGGAAATACGAGCACCAGAACTCCTTCGGATCTCGCTGATCTTGCTTCCACCTCGACCAATGATACAGCCAACCATGTCAGAAGGAATGCTGATGTTTTGGGTTTGGACCTCTTCACCATCTTCAGTCACAAGAGGAATGCCGCGATTGGCCGCGTCGGAGTTGGAGCGCCTACTATAGCCACCAGTTTGGTCACTGAAATCAGCACCATTCCCGGTTCGGTTGTAGGAACGCCCGCCATATCCGCCTGAGGACCCTCCAGATCCAAGCGAGTTGTTGATAGGTGCCCCGCCTACTGAGGCGCGAACAGCTGGGTTATAGAGGACAGTTCCAGTTCCGCGTTGCCAGTCGTCAATAAGACATTTGCCAATTTCCCACACGGCCTTCTCGATTCCTTCAGGGGTGCCTTGAACTTCGACAATTCGTTCAGTGGATTGTGGCAGCATCTCTTTCTGTGCGACCATTCTGACTCCGGAGGCGTCTTGAATATACTTGATCTTTAAGCCTTGGCGACCGATGATGGTACCCATTTGATTATGAGAAATGAGGAGACGAACGGCTTAGGATACGGTCAGCTCGTGAACAAAAAGCGGTAAAACGAATACACTTGATAGGGGCAACGAAGTAGATTCACAGTTACACAACAGGTGTCCGGAGAAAAAGGCACATCAGATATGGAGGGGATATAAGTTCAGAAGAATGGATAGAGGGAGAGGGACACTCACGATGGGTGCCATTATTTGAGACGACACCACCCATTCCAAGCTGAGGAGCGCCCTCTAGCAAACTCTTGGCGACGATGGCATATGCCTTAGCAGCACCCTGAAGCGGCCCAGTCACGGTCAAGACACGATCATGGACTCCCTGTACAACCTTGCTAACACCAGCCTTTACTCCAGTCTCATCGCGCAGGTCTGCTACGTTCTTGCCCGCTTTACCGATGATGACACCAGCTTCCTTGGAGGAAACAATGGCGCGAAGAGTCAGCATAGACTGAGCGTATTCCTCTTCGGATTTGGGAGGGCCTTCGGGATCGCCTTGTTCGTTGACGCGGTTATAGTCTGCCATTGTTTCGTCGGCCACATTGGGGGCGTTGTCACGAGATTCGTTGCTTGCCATTTTGAAAGGGTGGAAGGGAGGATAAAATAGGGATTGTGTGCCGAAAGATGGGGAATTAGTTTGTTGGCGAAAGTTGCGCGAAGATTTCCAGCGCTTTTGAGTTTTGGGTATTTTTTTCAAAAGGAAAATGAAAAACTTTTTGTTCTCAAGTCGTGTAAGGTAGAAATTGCTTTCTGTCGTTAAAAGAGGTCTAAACAGGAACTATACAGAAAGGTTGGTGAGTTAAAGAATGAGGGTTATATACGGGAAGGCAGTGGTCAAAGAAAAGCAGGGTCTAACAAGAGGGAGCGAGCAACTTACTGAAATTGGCAAGAATGAACAAAGGTTAGTCGCGAGCCAAAAGGAAACCAGGGTATAATTGAGTTTCGAGTGCGGAAGAAATGAACGTGGGGAAGTAAGGCAGGAAATGAAGAGATTGAGACAAGGTAGAGGAAATGAAAGGGAGATAGATGGTTTTGGGGGGGGAGGTGGTGGTGGTGGTGGTTAGGGCGTAATGGAGGAGACAGTATAGAATCGGTGAGCAGAGGCGAGCAGAGGTGAGGAGCTTCACGATAGGTGAAGACGGTT